CCGTTTCGTGCCAGAGGCAGGTTTCATACAAAGCACGGATGTCCCAGTGATTCTCGACTTATGCTGACTACTGTGACTGAACTGATGTTTATATTATTTGGCAGGAGATTGAACTATGGCGGGTGCTTTATCGAGCTTGTCCACATAGCCTGGTGTTTACTAACGCACAGGGGTGGAACGGCTGTGCCATTTGCACCATCTTGCGCCAGACGCATTTGTCTGTGCCATCCTGCGCCATTTCGTGGAAACTGCGCTACAGCCAGACTTGTACACGTTACTGAAAAAAAGTAACTGATTACAATTACAATTACTACAGTCAAAAAAGTAACCGATTACCGTTACTGATTACTGCCTCCCAGAAGTAATTGAACAATTACTGCAAAGTAATTGATTACTTTTCAAGTTACTTTCACGTTACTTCTTATTGCGATGACAGAAATACACAAATACACAGTAAAATATTGCGTACACAATTTTGTTTGGTTATTGTTCCCTTTTTTTGTTTTCAGACCCGGACCTTGTCGTGTAGCTGACGCGTCGACCTAAGGAACAAAGCCACTAAAAAGTCAATAGCGAGTTCCCGCTTCCCGTCGACTTTATCAGCAATCTGCAACGAGATCGGAACTCGCCAGCCAAGGCTGGTGGCGCGCTTGTAGAAGAGCGTGGCGCAAAAGAAAAAAGGGTTTGCCGACTAATCCTAGTTTTATTTTTTTTAGATGTTAAAAAAATGTCAATCATTTTTGCTCCATGGCTGAGTGACTATGTTGGTTTTTGTGAGAAAAAAAATAATTGTGGAATGAAAAATGTAATTGGCAATTGTGTAATTGATTTTGTAATTGATTACAGAAAAAAAGTATTTGAATTACTCCGAGCGTTACAGCTTGACAAATGTAATTGAAGCGTTACAAAATTACACTTAACTGTAATTGATTACAAGTAATCAATTACTTGTAACGCGTTACGTACAAGTCTGGCTACAGCCAATACCTTGCGCCATTATGCACCAAATCACACAACGTGCGCCAAAACAAAATTGTAGTTTGTCTTGGTTTCGGTTTCTCGATTGGCAACAATGAGCGCGTTTAGCCTGGTCGGCCTTGCAATCCTTTGTTCCGTTTATTCTCCCTGTGTATCCCGAGTCGGAAGCGCGCGAAAAAACTCGGGGATCGGATCTGAAGCGCTATACCTGCGATTGGATTGTCATTCTTCAACCATCATCGGTTAAGCAAGTCGGCCGAGGTGAGGTCGAGTCGTTATGCGTCAGATTGCCTGAGGCTCTGCGGCCCGGGATCCGAGCGTCAGCCAGTTGAAAAAAAATGAGCAAAAGATTACTTTTAGTACTTCATAGTTAGAAGTTGGAACCGCATTCCCGCAAGATAAATTGTGATTTGATAGAACTGAAATGCGGTCCGATCCGAAACCTAGCCGGCCAGCAGCTGTTACGCGAGCGGTAGATCTGCTCGGCGTACTTTAACCTTGCTCCTGCTAATCGCTTTGAATACGATAACTCGGTTAATCTTAGTCTGCTGCTTGGATATTGAGTTGCACAATAGGTTAAAGTCAAAATTTGTTGCCCTGTTCCTCCACGCAACTGCGCGTCCGTTGCTTACGCATGTCAAGAGGTTTGCACATATAGCTACTATGTCAAGCACGTGTGGGTTGTGCGATAAGCAGTGCAGGTTTGCATTTTGAGCCACTGAAAGACGCTCAGAAAATATCAAGGACACCATCTTCAGAAACATATGGTACTTGCTTTTTGGTTCTCATTAAGGCTCCCAAAGTTTCAAGTTTGTGCATCTGTTATACTGTTATCCCATCTGCCTAGGTTCCTAACCACTCATGTTCATCTGTGCTGGAAAGAACAATTGAAATTGCTCCCGTGCTCGTCTAAGACACAAGCTGAAGTGCAATGAAAACTGATCTGAGCTGCTCCTAGCCTGCTCCAGAATGTTGTTTTAGCTGCTCCCAACCCGCTCCAAAACAGCGGTTTCAGCTGCTCCCGTGGCTGCTCCCAAATACATTTAATGAGTTCCACCCTTGACGCAGTATAACAAAGAAATTGAACCTTGCCTAGCATGGTCTCGGCACGAGCGATTTGCTCTGACCAGTGCTTTAGTTGCACAAGGAGCGGCCTTCTAATCATCTTCTCTTTCTTGGAACAAAAACAAGAATAAACACTTTTTAGGAATCACAGCTGAAGAGCCAGTGGCGTAGCTAGACCATCTGGCACCCAGAGCCCTTGGGTCTTTTGTCACCCCCCCCCCCGCTCCCCGAGACCGCAAGCTAAAAGCCATAAAGCGAAGATAAAAATAAAGCAGCTGGCCACAATGGACTGTTGTGACGTTAAGTGCCTCACAATCCAGCGCAACACCACGGAAGTACAGCGCATTCGTATGCATACCTACGCTTGATCAAACTTGAACCGTAAGTATGAGCGGAGCCGAAGCTACAAGCGCGAGCGTTTAGCCTTGGGCTGTGCATAGATTGCACGAGTGCACGTGCAAGGCAGGGACGCATTCTAGATTAAAAGGTTAAAACAGCGCAAAGACACCCACCGACAAGAACGAGCTAGCCCAAACTTCAACAATAGTCAGCGCATTCTAGCTTTAACTTCGCTCAGACATTATACTCCGTTTCATACTTAGTGTGCTACGCTGTCAAGGCCGCCGGCGAGAGACCATGGCTTTGTTAAGCGTTTTATTTACATGCGCTCTCATGCAAATGAAACTCTTTACGGGTATTATAGGTCACATTCATCTCATTTATGGACACGATAGTCAAATTTCAATTTTCATTCCAGTATCTCTTTAAAGACATGCAGGTAGCACTTGTCAGTAAAATATTTGAAGCAGTGTCAAAGCGCCATCGGCACCTCGTCGGCTCCCTGATACCCCGCGACCCCCAGACATCGTCCTGCGACCGCCCTTTGCGCACCTCTGGTTTAGAGAACGTGATGGCTCAGTTTAGAGAAATGCGGTCTGTACGCAGCAGCAAGCTAGGCTTCCAAACAAACCTTGTGGTCACCCTCAATATCGCTCCGGGAAAATATGATATAATATCAAGAACGAGCGTGCACCGCCAAGGGTTCACCGCTAACGATTCGGCAAGCAACAGCATGCCGGCGGCCGCCATTTTCTCTAAACAGAGTTTTGAGGCTATTCGGTAAGATGTTGTCGCTAAAACGAGCCTTTAAACCGCACGCCTTAAAATGGAAAGTAATGCAATCAAACAATCGTTGGCATACGGTACACTGCGGCGCTGAAGCTAGTCCGTCCACGCAGATTTCCGGAAGCTCGACGGTCTCCAGACATGGCACGCTGTGGCAACAGGGAAACGCCGTCGCAGTCACAACCTTACGAATTCACTTGCCAGAACACCACATTGTGACCGCCTCCCGACGGCGAGCGACGCGCTTCTAGAACTTACGGCGGGGTCAGAGAGCGAGGGAGCTTGCTGAGCAGAAGCCTTTCGCCAGCACCTCCTCTCGGCACTTCCCCCTCGGGGTGAGGGAGACGACACGTTGAGAGTTTACCCAACACGTTTACCCCCTCCCCACGACTCCCTTCGTGTAAGACCTTCGTGTGATTTCTTTCTTCTTCGTCTGGCACCTTCTCTTGCTGTTTCGGCGCAGTCCGGCCGTGGTCGGCGCAAGCCAGCGTCGTGTTGCGCTGGGTTTGGCGTAGACTAGGTGGCGTTGGCTCGGCGTGCCCGGGCACAGCTCTTTCTCGAGTGCTCCCGCACTTTCCGCGCTTGTTTTTTCCGCCGGTGCGCGATGACCTTGCGCGAGCCAAGCCAGTTTTGCGACTCTGCACCAGACACGTTCGTGATGGAAGAGTGGTGACCTCATGCGTCTACACATTCTTTGCCACTTACGAACCAGTCAAGCCGGGGGGATTGCCGCCTTAAGTGGCACCCCCCCCTCGTGACTGAGACTCCTGGTACCCGGGGCCCACTGCCCCCCGGCCCCCCCCCCCCGTTACTACGCCACTGTGAAGAGCACTGCTGGAGGTGTGACTGTTCGATCTTCTCCGCAATACTACTAGCAGTGCTACGAAAAAAAAAGAAGGAATGTTTGATTTAAGGGGGCTAGAGGTTGAACCTCTGAACTACTCAAGTGATGAGAATAAAATTTGCAGGGGAGATTTAACTTCAGATGTAGGTGTACTGTGCAAACTTTCAGCTCTCTAGAACAACTTTACATACCTACTGAAGAAGATGTGTCACTCTTCGTTAAGAAGCCAATGATATGCAAATGAAGCTATTAAGCACCATTTTAACTGCTTGATTATAAAGTGGGGGATGTGGGACTTCGGGCTATCTGGTTTTAATAAATCAAATGTAAATATTTCAGGAAGAGTGATTACCTCAAAATTTGACATGCATATCTGTCCTATGTCAATTTTTAAAAACATAGTTTTTTTTCTCAATGAGGATTTTATTGTAAAACAAAATAAAGTAGATAGCCCGATTCCCTACTAAATTTCAGTTCAGAAACATCTTGATTGTGATTTTAGAATAATTTTACCTTGGAACAAAAGATTCCTTCGTATGAAATTTGCAGCAAAAAGTAGAACTGAGAAAAATGCATTCAAACATTGAACTCCTTTACCTTGTTACTGCCTTACAATGTGTTGAAAATATTTTATATCAACGTAACTGTTTGGCGCATGGTTATGAAATATAGTGTAAGGGTGTATAATTAGTCTCTAAAACCAAAAACCTTAAAATTAAAAAAAAAAAAAAAAAAAATTTCAAAAAATTTTGAAACTCAGGCCTATGTCCCCCCTTAAAAGTAAAATCCACCTCAAAGATTTTATAAGTCAGATGGCACAAGCTACCCTCATTGCTAGGGGCACAGGTATTGCTTTTTAATTTTTCTTCATCTTTATGAACCTTTTAATGTGTCTGAAACGAATCATTCTTCTAGCTGTCTCGTTAGGTTGATGCACTTGATGGCTTTGTTCTTAATTAGTGCTGTTGCTCTTCGTGTTTGATCCCAGGCATCTCAAGTGATCCGCTGCCTCCTTTGCTGTCCTGTGAGTCATACAAACCTGACCCGAGAGCAGTTTCTATGGAACCGATTCAGTCCTCAAGTCAAGGTAAGTCATTTTTTTTCTCCAGCTTGTTCTATGAATCGAGGACAGGGCATTCTCTAGAATGCACGTGGTCTTCCCACCTACATTCTAGAAAATGGGCAAAATAGAAAGTCAGGTAAGAAGACAGCAAGGGAAGCAGAAAAAGGAACATGTGAGGCCAGAATGGAAAAGAGGATTAAGGAAAGTGAACATTTCTGACAATTCAAAAAAGAGAGTTCATTGTTATCAGAGGCAAGAAGAGCTACATTAAGAAGTAGGACTTCTAGGTCGACTTCAGATATGACGAGTGCAACACAAATACATACAAGATGGGGAGAGGCGAGGGAAATGGCTGAACGTAAGCACGGAAAATCCGATAAATGCATAGAGGGAGGCATCCTTTTTTTTGCATTGTGATTTGAAAGGGGGGGGGAGAGAAAGAACAAGGAATAAAGTATTTTAAAAAGTTGGAAGTGGACAAGGCTGAAGGAATGGCAGGAAGGGGTGAGTGAAGTGATTTAAGGAGAAAGGGGGGGGGGTGTTATGATATGGCTATATGGTAGTTATTATGGTAGTATGGTAGAGGGTGGGTGCAGCAGCGTGGTGTGTCGCGTTGGTCCGCCCCATTTACAAACTAGGAGGAACTGCCAAAGCTGTCCAAGTAGTTCATCCATTGTATCCCATTCAGGAAATAAAGCTTCCGCAGCAATCTTTTTCGTAGTTGGGACCTTTTAAAAGGGGAGTGTAAAGGCACTGAAGTATGTGAATCCACCAACACAACGGTTTGACCGAATAACCGAATCTCTTGACTGTGACCTCGCTGCAAGCGAGCTAGAGCTGGTGTTGGGGCTGACTAATGTCGTCGTCGTAGTAATAGCAGGAGTATCCAGCCATAGCCTTGGCTGTTGAAACACGCTTTCCATGTCTGAGCGAGCGAAGAGGCGAAAGAGAGACAAAAAAGAAAGCAGGAGAGGGAGGGGTTGGTAAAGAATGTCGCACGCTGTTTCGCTGACAAACGTGCCAACAGACGGCACTAGTACTCTTGCCAGCCAATTAGCCGCATGGGTTGCTGCCCACGTAGCCTGCTTCGTCGCCGCTTGCGTTGCCTGCTTCACCTCTTCCCCTTCCCACTCCTCGCCCTTTTCCGCTCTGAACTATTCCAGAGCGCTTTTTCCTGGGTTACCGCAGAGGAAGCTCAAACAGCTTGTTCTTCAGTGGGCGACAGGCAGGGATCGACGCATGTTCTTTTTATTCATAGTTAAAATAACGGAGATTACGTACTCAACATTTCTGCTGAACACAGGAAACAATCGAATGGACAGCATGTGAAAAAGGGAAAGACAACATAGGACAACATGTTACAAACCAGTGAAGAAAGGCACACCAGGTATATGACATAGACACCAGTGTTGCGGAATGGCCACCGCCATTCCATTCCAATTTCATTCCGGAGAATTAGTTTCTGACAGTTCCATTCCTTTCAACCCCTTGGAACGGAGAAACTGGGCCCATTTTCACACCTGGAATAGCTGAACTTCACCATTCCATTCCTCTAGTTCCTAAAGTTTAAAAATTGGCCATTGACAGCCACATTGTGTTACTGAAAAAAAGCAGCATGAAGCTGCTAACAATTTGAAGCGTGGAGACGACTGCAAAAGTATGCAAAAGCATTTTCAAAGCACTCATTCCGCTAATCCAAAGGATGGTTGCAGAGAGCGCTTCATGGCAACCGCTTGTCACTGCAGACATTGACCGTGCGATGAAGCGTAAAAGGCTTGCACGTCCCAACAGTCGTCAAAAATTAAAACCTCCCATTTTCTTGTCAAACGGACCATATATACAGGATGGGATCGAGGGAACGGTGCAGTCGTGTAGTGGTTCAGTCCTTCAGCACTTCGATTAAGCTAGATTGTAAAGTGTTGATGCCACCTGGCGGCAAAGCTCATAACTACAGTATGCCTTGCCCTGTCGAGGCGCATGATGTTATGGACGTGACTGATATCCCAAGACGTATTGTGCTCCTTGATGGTTAAATTTGAAGCGCTCTTCAAATCCGGTATCTAGGACCAGAGATATAGCCATCTGTTCAACATACAAACTGTGATTAATATTTACAGGTATTGATTCCATTCCGGTTCGTTGCGGATGTTATGCGCCTTCCGTAAAATCCCGTAATAAGAATGCCTGCCCAAAACGAAGATAGATGGTGAAAAACATTGGATGGGCTACCTTTGGGATTGGGCAGCAAATCTTCATCAAAAATTAGTAAAGAATATCAGGGCACCAGCTACCTACAAACCACATGACACGGGAACTTTTACATCAGATTGCAGACGCAGTTAATTAGCATTTCATGATGCGATAGACACGTGAGAATTTGCTACCGACTCCTGTATCACGGGTGTCACAGGTACTGTAAAGACTGTATGAACGCCCACCTCTGAGAGACTGCCCACCTTGTTTTTCGGGCTGAATTTCCATTAAAAAAATTTCAAAGCCTATAACAAAGGTTTAACAACTAAGACCTAAGCTGTCAGTCAAACTCTTAGCCGATGAGAAGTATAGCTGCCGATTGGGGTTCAACGTTACGGAATCCCAATATCGTGGCGCGCGATTTAAAATGGGCGAAATAGCCGCAAACTAAAATCAGTCTCGTGCAATAAATATTGCAGTAAAAAATATTTTTTATTGCGGAAAAATTGTTTTTTGACATGCTTGTCCCAAATTAGGCTGTTTAAAAAAAAACTTTTTTTTCTTTGCAGTTTCCCTTTAAGGTTTGGTTAACTTGTGTTAGCCCCAAGAAAAATAGGTTCTTGCAATTTTGCTCGGTTGTTTGAGGGAGCAAATTAGCTTATTTTATTTGACTCTTTTAGGTGTTTTGTATATTCATTGCATTCAGGACATGAAAAACAAGCTTATCAAGACACCAGATTTATAAAAAAAGGAGGTCAATCAATATAACTTAAAAGTTTTATTCAGTAATCGTAAATAATATTACAAATGTCCTTGTGTGTCTCCTTTAACATAATGTTGTTCATGCTAATAGAACAATTAATAGAGTTAATTGTTTTTAAATGTTTTCTGGAACTGAAATAAAAAGGGCACAGTGAGATTTTAATCCACTCAGTTGATGTCGAACTGCAGTGATTACTATGTAGTTACTTTAAAACCAATTGACTATCTTGGTTAAGCTTGCCATGTACCTCTTAATACTGTTTTATTTTAGGAGATGAAGCTGCACTGTTGGGGAAGACCAGCTGCCCTTTGAAAGTCACGGAGGACATCTGGTTTGGATGCCGTTCCTGTACCTACTTCACGAGAGATCAGCATGGAATCTTGAGCCACTTGGTTGCCCATGGTGATGAACAATTCAAGGGCCTACCTCCTTCCACATTTCCTGCCTCAAAGTTTAAAGTGCACAGCAACACTCAAAAGCACAGAAGTAATAAGCTTTTCAAGTGCAAGCTGTGTCCTCACGTCTTTACTCGGAATTCCTCTCTGATTGAGCATAATCGAACACACAGTGGTGAAAAACCTTACAAGTGCAAGCTGTGTTCCAAAGCCTTTGCTCACAGGGGCAGTCTGAACAACCACAAGGAAACCCACACTGGTGAAAAACCTTACAAGTGTGAGTTGTGTTCCAAAGCCTTTGCTTGTAGGACCGGTCTGATCTACCACAAGAACACACACACAGGTGAAAAGCTGTTCAAATGCAAGCTCTGTTCTCACGTCTTTACTCGGAGTTCCTTTGTGATTGAGCATAATCGAACACACAGTGGTGAAAAACCTTTCAAGTGCAAGCTGTGTTCCAAAGCCTTTGCTCACAGGGGCAGTCTGAACAACCACAAGAAAACCCACACTGGTGAAAAACCTTACAAGTGTGAGTTGTGTTCCAAAGCCTTTGCTTATAGGGGCAGTCTGATCTACCACAAGAACACACACACAGGTGAAAAGCTGTTCAAGTGCAAGCTATGTTCTAAAGAGTTTGCTTACAAATGCAGTGTGATCTACCACATGCAAACACACACAGGTGTAAAGCCATTCAAGTGTGAGCTTTGCCCCCAAGAGTTTACACGCAGTTCCTCTTTGAAAAACCATAATCGGATACACCGTGGTGAAAAACCTTATAAGTGCAATCTCTGCCCCCAAGCCTTTGCTCGAAATTCTGAGGTGAGAAGGCATAATGTAACACACAGTGGTGAAAAACCTCACAAGTGTGAGCTGTGTTCCAAAGCCTTTGCTTACAGGGGCGGTCTGATCCTCCACAAGAGAACACACAGGTGAAAAGCCATACAAGTGCAAGCTGTGCCCCCAAGAGTTTGCTTACAAACGCCATCTGACCTACCACAAACGAGCACATACAGGTGTAAAGCCACTCAAGTGAGGTTTGCCCCCAAGAGTTTACACACAGTTTCTCTTTGAAAAACCATAATCGAATACACAGTGGTGAAAAACCTTACAAGTGAGCTATATTCCAAGCCTTTGCTTGGAAGTCACATTTGGAAAGCCACAATCAAAGAGTGCTGAAAAGTCTTTTAAACCTTTGCTTCTTAGGCCTTTGCTAAAGATAGCAGTCCGATCTATCACAACCAAACACACATGAAATCCATTGAAGTGCGCACTCTGTCCCCAAGCCTTCACTAGTAAGTGCACTCTGACCCATCATTACGAGAACACACAGGTGAAAAGCCCTATTAGCCGTATGCATCAGTCATGACTAACTAGCGCTGTTTTAAAGTTAGTATCGCGACTAAGTAGTCACGAACTAAGAAAAAATCAGCGATTAAGGATCGACTAGTTCTGCGGTACTCACAAGCGCGAAACGAGCGGGTGACTATCAAGTCAGAAATAAGAAGCGGAAGTAACTTAAAAGGTAGGTCACAGACACGCATACTTAAACGTCGCTGCGTAAATGGGTATTTAATCATATAAAAACTAATATTTAAATGTTTATTAGGCAGAAAAAGTTACAATGAGAGACTAATTGCCCGAGACAGAGTTTTACAAAGAAAAATTAAAAGAAACTCAAGGAAGAAATACGAAAGCCGCATCGCCAACAACATAAACAAATATGGATGCACCCGTATGTGCGTTTTTCCCCGCTATCCAGCGTCCTGCTGAGGTCGCTTTAGCGGTACCTCTGGCCATTGAACATGGCTATTTACACAATATTTTGTCCTCTAATTCTTTTTACATGTGTCCCCCTGCCTTCCGAGACAGTAAGTGCTTCGTTAGCGCTGGCGGTCAGCGGTGATACGAGTCGGCCATGGCACTGAGCTGCTAGTCACCCGCTAAATACCGGCTAAGCTAGCCCTACCTCATGACTAAGATTTGTTAGTCGACTTAGCCGCGCGGGGCGACTAGGCCCTAAACACGACCGGTAAATACCAAGCGCTCACTTAGCGGCGACTATCGCTCGCCACGTGATCATTTTAGTTGACGACATCGCTAGTCGGTGGTTAAACAGGCGCTACTTACGCCTGGTGAATACGGGTGTATATGTGTAAACTTCCCGAAACCCTTGTTTCTACAATTGCAGTTTGATCTCGCATAATCAAACACGCAGTGGTGAAAACCTTACAAGAGTTCAAGCGATGTCCCAAAGCCTTTGCTGAGGTCAGAAGAGGCAAACATGCGGGCCGTATGTGGCCTGCGACTCGCTAGGATGCGGCCTGCTGGCAACCTGCTATGGGCCGCCGTTTCCATGTCTGGAGTACTAGAAATGGCATACGGCATAATGATCTCGTGTTGCCAATATATTTTTACTCGGAATAGCTCTGCTCTCAATACATATTCACGTAGTTTATACTATTTTGTTTTAGAGCGCACCTCTTAGTCGCCCGTTCCCGGCTTGAGCGGCGTCCCCGTCGGCGTAACCAATGTCACGTGACCCCCCCCCCCCCCAAGGTCACGTGGCACCCCTCACCCAGGTCACGTGACTCCCCCTCCCCTCCCCCGAAGTTACGCGACACCCCCCAGGTCACGTGACCCCCTCCCCCGAGTCAGGTGACCCCCTGGAGCATATTAAAGAATGAGGGGAGGAGGAGGAGGGGTCTACCCTCCCCTCAGTACCCTTCACTCCTCCTCCTCAAGAGCTGCACTCCAATTCGGCGTTACAGGGAGTTGTAAACGGCTTACACTTTTTGCTTGCTTTGTTTTATTTTATTTTTGCTGCCCAGCTTTATGTCGTGTTACCGCTACCAGGCTATGCTTCAGTCTTTGACGTCCCAGAGAACTTCTGGTTTATAAGAAAAATGAACAAAGGCAACCTTAACACCGCTGTTTGATATGTCGATTACATGTTGACCTGCCAATTCTCCAGGTGTATGCCAAAAAGAATGAAGTGGGAGATCTGTGAGATCTGTTAAAATGTTAATATTCTTGTAAACCAACTTGCCTCCTCCAAGACAATAAAATATACAGCCGAAGGCCTTGTTATATCTCCAACTTTGATGTCCGTGTAGCATTTATACTTTCTAGCACTGGTGACAGAAGCAAGCTAGACAGGCGTGCATAGACAGAATGACTGGAAGTCGCTTTCAACGCAAGCGGCAGTTTATATTAGTAAACAGCAAAAGGGTCTATACTTCGTGTCACTAGTTGCATGCAGTACAGGTGAAGGCAATGCCAGCGAGAGAGAAAGGGCAAGCACTAGGAACTTTCCTAGAGGTCTGCCTTTCTCTCGTCACCCTCCTCTTATATCCAGCCTTCCTAGTGCTCAATCTTTCTCTCCGTCTGGCATTGCCTTCGCCTGCACTTCACACGACTAGTGACATGAAGTACAGTAAACTTTTGTGAATTCAACCTCGACGGGACCTTGAAATTTAGTCAAATTATTCGAGTGATCGAATTTAAAAAAAAGGACAGAAAAACTGTTAAAATTAAACTTCCTTTTATTGTCCAAAGTACTCGCGTACGGTCTGCTGCCGTCTGCGCTCAAAATGTGCGTCCAAAAGTAGGCTTCGGAGAGCAGCGTACCCAAAACATCACGTCCCAAAGCATCACGTCCCCAAAAAATTGTGCACTACAAAAAAAAACAAAAAAACAATTCAGTTTTACGATTGAGCTTGGCGACAAAAAGCATAAGGAAAAGAAATTTTGCGTTCTCCTACGCGGAGGTGGACCGCACACAATGCTAGAGAAGCGCTTTGAGAGTGAGCGCTGAGAAAGCTTCGATCCGACTTTGGCCCCGAACGGCCAGACCTTCAGCGACACAACAAAAAGTAACGACAACAAAAGAAAAAGGAGGAAAAGAGAACTTATGCTTTCCGGTGCGCAAGATGGAGTGCACACGATGCTACAGAAAAAACGCTTTGAAAGCGCGCGCTGGCTTGTGCGCGCCCGACCACTTGCTATGTTCTCCGCGCTACTCCATGCCAGATTGGTTGCGTTGGCTCTTGTCATTCGGTAGGGTCCATCGCAACGGCGTAGAGGAGCAGGCGCATATTTGTGCACGTTCGGCTTTGCAGCAAAGGGCCCGTGTTTTGGTGTTTCGCCATACGTTGGTGGTTTTTCTGTCGTGCCGTGCAATGTGAGCCCGCGCTCATTCGCTCGGACGAATTATCCGATGCGGAGTCTTCCCGAGTTTGAATTATTGAACTTTTCCTCCCATAGAATTGTATGGGCACTCGCCAGGACTTTTGAACATGATCAAATTAAACGAAAAGTTGAATTAACCGAGGTCGAACTAACAAAGTTTTACTGTATAGGGTGCAAGCTCTCGCTCTTCACTCAAAGATGCACATGGGCTGCACGACGGCTCTCGGAACACTGCACTGCCAAAGATCTTCGGCACTGCCAGAGATAAAGTTACAAGTTTGGTAATTCTCGCCTAAGAAGATATCACCATTCCTCTGGTAAGACTGCTGCTATAAAAAAATGTGAGCAAAGCACAGGCAACAGCAACTAACCGCAAAGCTGCTTTTGTGTGATTTTTGAGTGAAGGGTTAATCTATAATCTTGTAGAGGAAGAATAGCGACGTCTGAGACAAACAAAAGAGAGTCCCGTTTAGTGGGGAGTTCCTCGCTCCCCTCTTGGGCTGGCCGTAGAGCTGTCGGGATGACGTCGGGTTCAAAGAGACGGTTAATGTCACTCACTACCTGTCAAGGTTCCTATACGCGCATTACAAACGAGGCTTTAGCGACATCCACTAAGTACTCTTTGCTAATCCTTTAATTTGTTTTAAAATTCCTCTTCGTGTCTTTTGTAATAATATTATGGTGTGTCCGATAGCATATATAGACCAAAAAATAGGCAGTGAAATTTTGTTGTAGTTTCCCTTTAAGGAACGATGGCTTGCCAGCAGGCTTGCCAAGGGGCTTTTTAGTGTAACAATTAATAAACATTCTTTTTAATGCAATAAGGTGGGTCAAAGAAGCTTACTCTCAATGTTCTACCTCTTAATGCATACTGGGCCATGCCTCTGTTCTTGTTCCGAGTTCCTTTCCACTTGCTCGTGGTGTGTTCTATGATGCTCATAAAATTTTCTGTATTGTTTTGCTTTGACATATTCTCCTCTTTGTGGAGAAGATATAAGCTTGAGAAAGTAAATGTGTGACCAGAATTTCACTTTTCTTTTTAAGACAAGGTAAGCAGTTTCAGGCCCCATGCTGTTGTTTCTTTTGGCTCTTGCAGATCTCAATACTGAAGCGAGTGGGGAGTAATGTTTTATCCGGTTTTCATTTTGACGTTTTGTAGCGTGCTATCTTTAGGAATCTCCTCGGCGGGAAATTGAGTGAAGGGCATGTGTACGTACCGCGGTGCTTTGTGCTGCCGATTGGGGTGTCGGCAGTTTAGTTCCCACATGACCCGGCAGGTTTAGCGATTAATTGATATTGTATCTAAAGCCCTACAAAGTGACGGTGTGGAGTTCAGATTGCAGTTAAACTGAGTTTATTAGAAGGAGGGAAAAGCGTCGGGGCGAGAACCGGTGCAAAGCATCTGCTTGCCGGTGCTCTTAGGTGGTCTGCGAATGTTCATATTCCAGGCGGGAAAGAGGTGCATATTCCGGGCTTCTGCATGTAAACGTTGGGGTGCCGGGTCACACTCCGTTGGCTGGGATACATTCCTCGTACCGTTGAGTATGTGTATGTACCAGTACCAATGTGCATGTTTTTAGTTGTGTTATGCGGTTTCAAGAGTACACTGAAAAAAAGGTGTTGAGAACTTGGTACTGACTTTAACACAAGCATACTTAATGTATTTTCTCCTTCCTTTTCTGCACTGGCATTTACATCATCACATATTATGCAATACCTGCTTTGAGGCATCACTATGTATTGTCCAGGTGGTCTATATTTTTTGTTACTCAGTGTTTTTGGGTCTGATGGTTGTTTCTGTGTTGCCTGCCTCTCTGCATCATAATTTTCATATCGTGTCATTTTATTTCAGTCTATGCCTTTTGCTCATTTTTTGTATAGCACTGAATAGTAGCTGGTTTCTATGCTGTCCTTGTTGCAAACATTCTATTTCTGTAACAAAATGAGATGGGTCAGAGCAGCTAAGTCTCAAGGAATACAAATTCAGCCATGATTCTGCTTATGTTGCAGTGTCCGTTGTATTGCTGCTTTCCGGGTGTTTGTTTTTACATTGTGCAATACATTTGTAAACATAGCTCCATTGCAGTTATATGTTGTTTTTTTTTTACTTTTATCTTGTCTTCAGAAAAATCTGCAGAAGACAAATCTGTATTTGGACTTGTGTTTTGTGGAAGTAAAGGTTGACAGTTCAAGCTTTCACATTGTTGCTCTTTTTTTTAGCCGTTGCAAATCTTAGTTGAGGCAAAATGTGCTTCTGGCAGGGTGTCTCTTTAAAAAGTTTCTATTTTGCCACCTTGCACCATGCTGGGATCTCGCAGTAGCAGTTTCATCGCCGAAAAATTGACTGCCAAGTGGATGTGTACACTTACAGCACATTGAGATTGGCACTTTGTGCTGCCGATTGTTAGCCTAATTCCAGCCTTCCCAAAGCTTTTGTTCAAGAGAATAATCTAGCTCTCTTCGCTCAAGTTGGTATGCACAATAAACGTTAAGAATACCAGCAATGTCCCGCGGCATTTTCTGACCAGTCTTCCCTCAGCCCACAAGTCCCAACACAGGTTCACAAATAAAAGGGCATAGGTGGAACAGCTCGTGCAGTTTTTTCATGCAGAGCGTGAGAAGTATTTGGCATCGCGCATAAACCCTTAATTAAAATGGCAGTCCGAACCCGGTTTTTTGCACCGCAAAAATAAACTAGACATTGCAGGTAGCTCCAACTCCATCAAAACGTAGCCTGAACCGTTCGAGCAAGATGCCAAAATATCAACACTTTCCATTACCAGAATAGAAAGTTTGAGATAAAAAACCGTTTTCGCCTATGGGAGGACGCCGTCCATGAGACGCAACAGACGAAATGCCTCTGTTTGCGACCGCATCTCACAGATGGCGCCACTTGTCCTCTAAGCTTCCCGCGCTCCCCCACTTGTCTAATCCGAACGACTGGCGGCAAAGTTAAAATACCTGAAAAAAGTATTGTATCCTTGCACCCAACTTTGTCCGTTATTAATAGAAGGAAACAAAATTAAATGTCTGGAATTGTAGTCACTGTTTTTTTTTTATAAAAAAATGTCCCGATAAATATTGAAACAGACGTCGTCTGCTTTTGTCTTCACGAACGCCGACAGCCACCTACACGCACCTGCATTGATGGTTCATATTGTTTTATTTTACTACCAACTGGTACTCCTTATGTGGCAGTTAACGCGCAAGCAATGGAGTCGGGTCATACTTTGGTACATTGAACTGAGGAGCTTTATAAAGGTCAAGCGCAAGTTTTGTTTCGGATTGCGGCTTACAGCCACCTTCGAAGTCTGTGTTCTGGATGTGTGCTTGACGCTTTGCAAAAGATTGTAGCGTCAAGAACAAAACACGTCTTCCACGTTGCTCCTCAAAAGGAAGAGCACTGCTTCCTCATCGTCGGAGCCTTCGAGGCAGATCCCCACCTGTGTTTGAGAAGAGCCGTGCGTTTGTTCAGAGTATCCACGTACACCATGCGCAAAGCTATCGGCGAGATGCGCCCGTACAAGCTTGGCCTGATTCATGAGTCATTGCCCGGAGACTACGAGAAGCGGCTCGACTTTTGTCGAGACGAGCTCCTCGGGATTGCACATCTGCAGTTGCTGTTGTTTAGTGATGAGGCGACATTTCACCTGGACAGGCAGGTGAACACGCAGAACTGCTGTTATTGGAGTTCGACAAATCCGTGCTGGACGCTCGAGAAAGCTTTGCAGTCGTTGAAGGTAGCAGTCTGGTGCGGAAACTGGAGAGAGGGCGTTGTTGTCCTCCCTTTTTTTTTTTCTTTTTCAATAACACCATAACGGGAAGCAGTGCCTACCTGGAGATAATGTAGGATAAGTTCCTTCTTCTCGAGTTGGAAATACTGCACATGCGGTGGAACGTATGCTTCTTCATGCAGGATGGTGCGCCACCCCACTGGTCGACGAGTGTGAAGGCACTGGCTGGACAACGCCTTCCCAGGACGCTGGATGGGCCGGGGATTACCGAACATGCTGTGGCCGCGCCCCGGTCGCCAGACCTCGATCACGATATGCGGCTTTTTCGTTTGGGGGTTTGTGAAGTCCCAGGTGTACAAGCACCGCATCCCCCGACTCGACGAAGCAGCGCATCGAGGCAGCTTTCGCTCTCATCACGGACGAGATGCGAGCTGCTGCATTCGGAGAGTACGTGACCTGGGAATTGTCCTCTTCACTTAGCGCCTAGGAGGCAATGTCGAAGCCCTGGTTCCAACCGAATTTGAGCCGTAGTGCCCTGCCTAGAACTGACCTGACAACAGTTTTTATGGAACGAACTCGCACCTTCCCGTCAAGTGTACGGTTTATTGATTTTAATACCCTGACAAAGGCCCCTTTTAGGGCTGCCAAATGCTGTCGTCATGGGGCCTGGCCACTCTTGACGTGCCTGCTCTCCCGTGTCTCTGAATGCCCATGCAAATTAGATTCTTTGTATGTGCCCTCTTCTTTCCTCAGATAGCGCTTGTCTTATTACCTTCATCTTATGCAGTCCGGTGTCGCACACGATGTTACACCTGTAAATCAGTGAAAGGCATGTCGAGCTGCGTAGACTTTCCATTTTCCTGGGGGTGGGCAGGCTGAGAAGTTCTTCGGGTGGGGGGGGGGAGGCTGCTGGAGATTGAACTGGAGATTGAAGCTTGGAGCTAACGAAAGCACACTGGGATTCCATTTCCCATATATTTTGTCAATAAAGGCAATGTGGGCGTTATTTTGTTTACATGCCACTACTAGAAGCTCGTTACATGGCACGTAATCAGCGTCTCGGTAAGGATGCCGGAAACGTTTTTCAAACCGGAGTTTCGATGATCGGATCAAGCGGTTCGAAAGATTTCGAACTTTCCATATTGAAAAATTCGAAGTTATTAATCTAAGAAGCTCGACGCTTTTCGAAATTTTGAACTTATTACGCTGCAAAATTCGATGCTTGTCGAACTTTCGACCTTGATAGACTAAAAAATTTTATGATTTTCGAACTTCCGAACTTCTTGCACTAAAAAGTTCTAAGCTTTTCAAACTCTCGAACTTCCTATGCTAAGAAATCGATAATTTTCTAACTTTTTAACTTATTAATCTAAAAAATTTGAAAAACGTCGAACTTTCGATTCCTGAAAAGTCAAAAGTTCGACGAACTTCAAACTTTTAAAGTAAAAGTTCGAAGTTTGTCGAACTTCGAAAGACCGGCGGGTGGTTTCATTTGGATTCAAGCAGTGAGGTACATTCGTAATTTTTTTTTCGCAATTTTACATGTGGTGCTGTGAATTTTAAGTTGTGAATTTTTCAAATTCGAACCTCCGTACGGTCGAAAATATTGAAACCTTTCGAATTCGCGGCATCCCATGTAAGGACCATGGCCCGGGCCCGGAGGGGGGCTCTGCCCCCCCCCCCCCCCCCCCCCCCCCCCCCCAGAATCTACACCTATGCTTACATCACAACAAAAACGCAGCCAGCTGGTGAAGCAACAAAACGTCTTTATCCACACTAACAAAAGCATTATACGAATAAACAAGTTAGCGAGCCTAACCTGAGTTTAAAGAAACAGTCCACTAATAACCTGGAATTGTACCCGGCGGTGCTGTGCCGCAAACCGCCAGACCGAAACCGAAACTAACCAAAATCCCTTGGCAGAGGTCTGACCTTTGGCAGAGCCGTATATAGGGAGAATTTGTTCAGTCTATGATCTCGCCGCTGTAACGCTCTCCTCCCAAGTGAGCCAATCAGCACGCAGCGTAGAGCGAGAGGCATGAGCGCATGCGCGTGAACTCCTGGCTGCTCCCACCTGAGTGGGGAGGGCCGCCATCTTCGATCATTCTCCCGGCGGAATGCATGGAATCGGCATCTAAATCTCGATTATTGCCTTTTATACCGCTGGCTCTGGCAAGAAAGTGCCATTCTGCTATTCCTCGCTGGGTTAGAAAGCTAATAAATGAAGATTTTTCGGCGTATGGCCACCACCTTTTATTCAGGCGAAAAAGAAGTCGGCCCGTAGCAGACGACGCGTAGCCTCAGCAGTGCTCTTCTCCGACCAGTCTCCGACAGCGTTGCTAAAAAATGGCAGTCGTCTACCCCCTGCTCCCTTCTTTCTCTCTCGCTCCTTCGGCGCTCTCCTCCCTTTCATTTACTTTTCTCGTCTCCGGTGCCTTCGTCGCCACACCAGCCACACCAACTGGCGCCCCTTGGCAGATTGGGGCGCCGTGGGTGATATCTGGCCGGCAAACGCCGCAAACAGAGACATTTCGTCTGCTGCTTGTCACGGACGGCGTCCTCTCATAGGCAAAAACAGTTTCTTACCTCTAACTTTTTATTCCGGTAATGGTAGCTGTTTACATTTTAGCATCTTGCTTGATCGGCTGGGGCTACGTTTTGACGGAGTTGGAGCTCCTTGCAAAGTCTAGTTTATTTTTGTGGTCCGTAAAGTCGGGTTCGGATTTCTCACAATTAAACACCCGGTATATTCCTTTCGATTGTTATTTTGCTTTGAACCGTCGCTTGTCTTTACACACCTGCCGCGGAACACACGTTTGAGACTGAAATGTAACGAAGTAAACGTCGTTCACTGACGAAGAAAAAATGCACTAACTAGATCAATTACACTTTTACAATGCTAATCAAGGTACATGTTATTCGGTACGACCCAAATAACCAAAGTGTTTCATGTTATTTTCCGGCGAAGAGGCAAAATGCACTAGCGTTTTCCCATAGGAATGCACAGGGGCACCGCAAAAGAAGACAGATGTCTGCTTCACATTGCGGCCACCATGGAGAATAGAAGGGTAGGAGACGGCATGACGTCAGCCGCGTAGCCTCCGCAAGCCATGCTCCCTTGACGCCTCGCCTCTTTCGCATTTTTCTCCTTACTCTCACCACACCACGTGACCGTAGCTAGCCTTCGTCTAGCTATGGTATACTAGAATACACCACAACCTAGCCTTCGATCTGATAAAACCTACCGGACGGAGCGCGCGCAAGCCTGCAAGGATCCTCCTACAATCAACCATCCATCTCGCACGTGACATGTCACGCGCACCAATTGCCAGACAAATCTGCGGCCATGCTGGGCACAAAATCGTTTAAACTTTTTATGACTAGGCTTCACCAATATTGCAACGTGCCCCCTCCTAGTACTTCTAACCTCCTTGGCGGCCACGGATGTCGCACAGACACTAGCGCCAGTTGAACCTGTGCATTATAATATCTTTATGTTGTCCACTTATTCGGTCAAACGGCGTTAAATACAATGATTTTGGTTAAATAAAACAGCGTGAGAGCAATAACAGATTTATATTTGCTGGCTAGGTGGCGCAAGTCGTTGCCCGTTTCGGAGGCTTTATACCGTATTTATTTATCCACCATGCATTTAATTTTAGTCAAACGAAAAAACGGAAAAAACGAAAATGGACGAGTTCACCCCGCCGCCATTTTGCCGCCCCGATCAGCTGTCGATGTACGCGTGGGATCGCTAAATCTTTTGCAAATGCCGGGTTGCTGCGTGCCGCAGTGTTCGAATCACTCGAGGAATGGGTGGAAGGTATACGGCGTCCCAACAAACGCCAAACGGAGGCGTCTGTGGCTCGTACAGATAAAGCGCGACGACTGGGAGCCGAGCCGTTCGTCGTCTGTGTGCAGCGTGAGTACCAACTTTGTTTCCTTGCAATCGCCGCGTCTTTTGCCGCGCAGTTGATTGCTAGAAAGTGGTATTTCAGGTCGTGATAAATTATTTCAAATGAAGGCTTCTTCGACTTGGTTCTGCAGTAAAGCGCCGCAAATAACTTCCGCTTATCGTGGTCGAGGAGCGGCGACAAGCCGCGACCGCTCGATCGACGGAGGAATCGAGCGATCGTGGACAAGCAATGGAACTTTTTTTTTTATATATCCTCAGTTGCGCGCGTGAAATTCTATCGACAAGCAGGACATGTTCGTGTGAGCCCGCAAGCAGTCGGACCATCGGCAGAATGTTGTTGTTTTACTCCATTTCGTCCCGAAGTCCTTTCGACGCTGCTAATGCAGAATGTGAGCTCGGAATTGGCGTTGTTTTGCAGATATCGCTCTGGTGCTGTACGAACAGTTTCTCGTTTGATGAACGTCTGAAAGTAATGATTAGCTATCAAAATTTTGCGCTTAGTTTTGCGACTACTGTCTTGTTTCTAATGGAGTGCTAACTTTAATAACGATAAATAGAAAGTAAGTTATGTCACCGTCTACCTCTTTTATTGATGAGTAAAGCTATACGCACTATACATAGTGCTGCTTGACTGGAAATGGCAATACGCACTATGCAGAGAGCTCGTGTCATTTGGGTCACCCTCTTCGAACGGCGTGTGTACAGGGGCGGATCCAGAACTCCGTATGGGGGGGGGAGGGGGAGGGGGAGGGGGAGGGGGAGGGGAGGGGAAGGGAGGGAGGGAGGAGGGAGAGGGGGAGGGAATTTGTGGGGGGAGGGGGGGGAATCAAAGGTAGCATAAACAGAACTCCGGTTGCACCTTTTGTTTTCGCCGCCGCAGAACCACACTGCACCGACGGCCCCTAGATGTGCCCCACTGCGCGGACTTATTAGCTCCAAGCCGTGCTTTCAAACCGACGCCGCGGACTTCAGTCTCGATTGAAGCGACGGAGTGGTTCTCCAAGTTCAGAGCTTAAGTGTGCCTGCTAGGGTGCGACCTACCCTATTTTGAACGCTCGTTCTTGAGTACGGAGCCTTTACCAGCTGGCAAGCCGGTAGTCAGTTTTATTTCGGGGTATTTGCCCTCCGAGAAGGGGGGCGGCCAACCCCTTCCCCCCCCCCCCTCCTTGGATCCGCGCCTGCGTGTGTATCACTGGGGAGCTCGTTAACACCCCCCTGCCTGCGTTCACGCCGCTTCGCGGCAACAGTGTGCGGCTGCTAATTACAAAACTTAACCCGTATATGCTGCCTCGCGGCACCCAGCCGGCAACCCAAGCCCATACCATTTAGTTCTGTGAAATTTCGTCGACAACATTAGTTTTTTTCTTTTCAGTGTTGATCATAAAAAAAAGAAATGTCATAAATATCGCCGAATGCCTCGACAAAACAAAATGTTTGAGAAAGAAAGTAGGCCCACACTGTGGATTGTACCCGCGTCCAGTTACGTATAAAGCAGAACCTTACCACAGTGCTATGCCACCGCTTAGAAAACTCGTAGCCATTCGTTTTATACGAGTGTCGCGTAGTGCGTATAGCCTTTTCCGGCCGTGGTGGACGACGGAGTGCGTATAGCTTTATTCTTTATTGATGCCCCATATGCTATTTCCAGGCCCACTTTGAACCCAGTGCATTCGAGGAGAGGAGAGCTGATGGGTGGCAAAAGCTCAAGCCGAATGCAATCCCAACTTTGTTTTCTTTCCGTCGTAAGTATGCATACCGTCGTAAGTATCACCGGCCCGGGCAGTGCAGTTTCTAGACATGAACTCTATTTAAACGTATAGAAAAAAAAAAAAAAAAAAATCTAGCCGAAATTTTGGGTTGACACGGAGGAATCCTTTGGGGATGAGGCATCTCTCGGGATATTATTAGATATAAATTGCATTTAAGCAATTTGACGAGTGATCAGACAAGCGACCCACTTCGCTGTCACTGGGTCAGTCGTGTGACAAGGCAAACCCCATGAAAGCGACGGCAGCAAGCGACCAAAGCATGAGCGACGTCCTGTCGCCGTCGCTTGCTAAATCGCTTGCACGTGGTTCAGCCTTCCAACAACCTAGAGACACGACAAGCAACAGTGCCTTTGAACCGCATGTATCGTATTTTCCGAAGTATAAGACACTCTTTTTTTCCAAAAACTTCCGGCGGCGCGTCTTATACACAGGTGCGTCTTATATACTCGTTTTTACTTAGAAACTTGCGAAAAGTGGGGGTTGCGTCTTGTACACCGGTGCGTCTCATACATAAGACGCTTTTTTTCCAGAATTTTCGGCGGTGCATCTTAGATACTAGGTTTTACTTAGAAACTTGTGAAAAGTGGGGGGTGTGTCTTATACACAGGTGCGTCTTATACACCGGAAAATATGGTACGTGCTTTAGTGAGTAACAAGAAGAGCGACGGAGATTTCTTACTGTTGCTCTTTGCGTTGCTGGGTGAAGTCCAGGACTGAGCTATGCAACAAGCAACACTGAGAAATCTTTGTCTCTGTCTCTTGTCGTTTGCCGACGTCGCTCGTTAAATCACTTACATCCGGTTGAGACGAGTAACAGTGGCAAGCGATAAGTCAGCGATGAGCGACAGCAATTTCTCACTGTTGCTCGTCGCCCGGAAGTGGCTGAAGCGATTAGCCAATAGCACCAAATGTTCCGTTTTACGTCACTACCGGTTTGTTAGCGTGACTGCATGGCTAGTTTAGGTTATATATTGTTGAGAAGCTTCGCTTGATCACCAACTGCGATGGGTAATAACCCCGACGCCACATCGATGAGGTGGAGTGAGGGAGGATCCTTTGGGACATGTCCCACACCAAGTACAAAGCACAGAATTTAAAAGCTGTTGCGTGGAGCCACATCGCAGCAGCTCTCGGATCACTTGCTCCCTTCGGTTTCATGCGGTTTGCCTCGTCACGCAACTGACTGAGCAACAGCGGGTCCTCGCTGCCGTCGCTTGCCGTCGCTCGCCAAATCGCTTGCACGCGGTTTAAACTTAATGCTTTATTTAGCGTTGGTGCCCTGGTACACGCGCTCACCTTGGATCATAATGGGGTACTTGAACGTCAAAGGCGGATACGACCAGTGGCTGCTGGGGCACATGCGGTCTCAGTACAGACTGACGCTGTGCACGGACACTAACGAAGCCATGTTGCACAACATCACTATAGATTTGATCTTCAGTTGCCATGTACATAACAACAAACGGTGGCATATTAATCATGAGCAAAGTGCAATTTAGAAAGTCACAATTGCTTGCATTGGCTAAGGCGCATGTAGCTACAACTGCATCAACACTCTAGGCTTGGCCAGGTGAGGCTGGCGGGATCACGTTTGGGCTTTCATTCCATCGTCTTTCTCCATTTAATTCGAACAATGATGCTCTTGAAACCCAAGAAGAAATACTTCCAAGTGTTATTGAAGTCCTATATGGCTGGGACCCCTAAATTTCCCTGCAGTACCCTCCCTTTCTCGTACGATGGCAGTAGCCATGAGCGAGCAAAGCTATATCCATATTGAAGTAGGTAAGAACAGGAACATATCTGTTTTGAAGTCTCTTGGAAACTTTGCTCTATGTCTTGGAGCGGCACCAAAGCGAAGTAAGCCACCGAAGCCAAGATGTCCCCTTCCGTCTGCTCTGGCTTCAGCAGCCAAGGGCGGTTGTCAGGTGGCTGCCACACCTGATGAGAACCTGGATGAGAGCCTGAGCTCTCCACCACCACCTGCTCTACCCAGTCCCGAGATCCCACCATCTGAAGATGACTTTCCTGGTCAGTGTCGGTATCAGCTGGCAGCAGGTGCAGCTACTGCATCTGCCATGAGTACAGATGAGGGTAGGATTTCTCCACCACTTCCTGCTGCGTATGATATGAATGCCCCATGTGGCACCTGCACCAGCTGGGAGTGACTTTCATGATCATTATCACTTAGCAGCTAGGGACAACCTGCTCACTAGCAAGAGTCCTGATGGGCTGGAATGTGCAGAACTAAAAAAATAACTGGCTGATGTGGCACGAAAGTACACAAACTTGCATGAAAATCACCAGAAGGCTAGGGGAACCATTAAAAGCCCGAAGAAAAAGGTAAAAACACCAGAACAGGAACTCCAAAATCTCAAGGGTAGTATGAAGTTTCTGAATAATGATCAGCTTCATGCTTTTTCAAGGAGCAACACTCAAGGTTGCACGTGGTTTGTGAACACTATCAAGCAAGCCCTTCCAATCAAATATGCTTGTGGGACATCAGGTTATAAAACACTGAGGACACTGGGCTATCCATTACCATCCAACAAAACCCTTGCTTGAAGATTGCGAGGCTTAAGCTTCCTTCCAGGCATTCTTACGGAGGTATTCAATTTTTTAAAGAGCAAGGCTCTGGGAATGGAGGACATTGAAGAAGACTGCATACTTTTTCTTGATGAGATGGACATCACGTAAGGTTATGAGCATGACCGTTCGTACGACTGTCTTTTTGGTGATGTGACACTACTAGATCGACCTAAGGATGCTGCACACGGTGCATTGGAGTTTATGGTGGGAGGCCTGAATAGGCACTGGAAGCAGGTAATCGCATATCACCTGACTGGACGATCCGTTGATGGCTCTCTTTTGAAAGACTGTTTTTGAGCTTGTGCAGCTGTGTTCGGAAATTTCTCTGAGGGTCTTTGTGATCACATGTGATATGGGATCTGCCAACAGGGCCACATGGTGCAAGCTGGGACTTTCCAGCCACAGGAACTCCCAAACCGTTGCTTCAATTCCTCACCCTCACTTAAAAGGGAGAGGACTTTCCAACTATAATGGGAAGAAGAGTCGAAGTCATATTCGCGCTAACAGTGTCGCGCAGCGTGTTATCAATCAGCACGGATCAAAGTGGCGATGCAGGTGAATTGGTTCATGGTACAACTGGAAACAGCGCACAAATTTCAGACAAATAAGGTGTAGACGGGGACAAGCGCTGGAACTTCTGACTGATTATTTAATATAAGAAAAAACGTCCAACCAAATGTCCACATATCATGTCAACACATGCCTCAAAAAGGCTATCTCAGTCTTACGTAAACAAACCCAAGTTTGACTGGCGCACATTGCGCCTTCCTTTCCTATACCAAATGCTTCCAGCAGTTGTCTCACAGTTTTATCAACCCCTTTTTCCAGGGTCGCGTGATCTCTTGTCTTGTCGCTTCCTACGTTGTTGGTGTCCTGTCTTAATCTTTTGAAGTAGCTCTTTGGCCGTGGGCACAAATGCAATGCTGGGTGACCCGCAAGTGCCAAGCCATCCTACCTGCCGCCCCATGCTCTCTTGGAGCGTATTGTGGCAAGACTTTTCAAGGGCAGCTTGCAGGCATGATGACGCAATGCCCCTCTTGACCAGCTTGGAATGAGCAATGGTTCGACTACTGCGCCAGATGTGCCATTTTGTGCCAGAGGCAGGTTTCATACGAAGCACGGATGTCCCAGTGATTCTCGAGTTATGCTGACTGCTGTGACTGAACGGATGTTTATATTATTTGGCAGGAGATTGAACTATGGCAGGCGCTTTATCGAGCTTGTCCCATAGCATGGTGTTTATAACGCACAGGGGCGGAACGGCTGCACCATTTGTGCCATTTTGCGCCAGACACATTTTTCTGCGCCATCCTGCGTCATTCGCGGAAACTGTGCCACAGCAACATTGAGCGCATTTAGCCTGGTCGGCCTTGCAATCCTTTGTTCTGCTTATTGTCCCTTAGTATCCCTAGTCGGAAGCGCGCGAAAAAACTCGGGGATCGGATTCGAAGCGCTACACCTGCGATTGGATTGTTATTCTTCAACCATCACCGGTTAAGCAAGTCGGCCGAGGTGAGGTCGAGTCGTTAAGCGTCAGATTGCCTGAGGCTCTGCAGCCCGGGATCCGAATGTCAGCCAGTTGAAAACAAAGAGCAAAAGATTCCTTTCAGTACTTCATGGTTAGAAGTTGGAACCGCATCCCCGCAAGATAAATTGTGATTTGATAGAACTGAAACGCGATCCGATCCGAAACCTAGCCAGCCAGCAGCTGTCACGCAAGCGGTAGATCTGCTCAGCGTACTTTAACCTTGCTCCTGCTTATCGCTTCGAATTCGATAACTCCGTTTATCGTAGTCTGCTGCTTGGATATTGAGTTGCACAATAGGTTAAAGTCAAAATTTGTTGCCCTGTTCCTCCACGCAACTGCGCGTCCGTTGCACGTCAAGAGATTCGCACATATAGTTACTATGTCAAGCATGTGTGGGTTGTGCGATAAGCAGTGCAGGTTTGCATTTTGAGCTGTTGAAAGACACTCAGAAAATATCAAGGACACCATCTTCAGAAACATATGGTACTTGCTTTTTGGTTCTCATTAAGGCTCCCAAAGTTTCAAGTTTGTGCATCTGTTACACTGTTATCCCATCTGCCTAGGTTCCTAACCACTCATGCTCATCTGTGCTGGTAAGCACAATTGAAATTGCTCCCGTGCTCGTCTAAGACACAAGCTGAAGTGCAATGAAAACTGATCTGAGCTGCTCCTAGCCTGCTCCAGAATGTAGTTTTAGCTGCTCCCAACCTGCTCCAAAATGGCGGTTTTAGCTGCTCCCATGGCTGCTCCCAAATACATTTAATGAGTTCCACCCCTGACGCAGTATAACAAAGAAATTGAACCTTGCCTAGCACGGTCTCGGCACGAGCAATTTGCTCTGACCAGTGCTTTAGTTGCACAAGGAGCGGCCTTCGAATCGTCATCTTCTCTTTCTTGGAACAAAAACAAACAAGAATAGACGCTTTTTAGGATTCACAACTGAAGAGCACCGCTGGAGGTGTGACTGTTCGATCTCCTCGCCAATACTACTAGCAGTGCTACAAAAAAAAAAAAAAAAAAGGAATGTTTGATTTAAAAGTAAAATCTACCTCAAAGATTTTATAAGTCAGGTGGCACAAGCTACCCTCATTGCTAGGGGCACAGGTATTGCTTTTTTTTAATTTTCCTTCATCTCTGTAAACCTTTCAATGTGTCTGAAACGTGTAATTCTTCTAGCTGTCTCGTTAGGTTGATGCACTTGATGGCTTTGTTCTTAATTAGTGCTGTTGCTCTTCGTGTTTGATCCCAGGCATCTCAAGTGATCCTCTGCCTCCTTTGCTGTCCTGTGAGTCATACAAACCTGACCTGAGAGCAGTTTCTATGGAACCGATTCAGTCCTCAAGTCACGGTAAGTCGTTTTGTTTTTCCAGCTTGCTCTATGAATCGAGGACAGGGCAGTCTCTAGAATGCACGTGGTCTTCCCACCTGCATTCTAGAAAATGGGCAAAATAGAGTCAGTTAAGACAGGAAAGGAAGCAGGAAAAGGGACATGTGAGGCCAGAATATCAAAAAGGATTAAGGAAAGTGAACATTTCTGACAATTCAAAAAAGGGAGTTCATTGTTATCAGAGGCAAGAAGAGCTACATTAAGAAGTAGGACTTCTAGTTCGACTCCAGATATGACGAGCGACACAAATACAGTTGACTCTCGGTAATTCAAAGTCGCATAATTCAAATTTTCGGTTAGTTCGAAGCATGGGCCTGGTCCTGGCAATCGTATGTACAATGCTATGGGGAGAAACACGCAGTAATTCGAAGGCTAAATGTTGGGAGCTGGTTAATTGGAAGGATTTTTTGTCTGCGCCTGAAGTCCGGAAACTCCGGGAGCGAAAAAAGCAAATGCCAAGCGCAAATACGCAACGCCACGACCCGCGGCCGCGTCACTGGCGTCGCTGCACTAGGGATAATGCAATGTGCGATAGCGCCACGGCGCGTTGCGGCTCGGCGGCGAGGAAGCAAGCAAACAGCCTTGCGTGCGCGGCTGTTTGCTTATTTGCTTTGGGCTCTGCTCTCCCTCTCTGCACTTTCCCCTCGAGAGGAGAGAGGGAGATAGGTGGCGAGAAGGTTGGGTTGCGTTCTGCGGAACGGCGTGAGCGGGAGTTTTGACAACGAAGATCCGAAAGTGTGTTGGCTCGTTCGTACGTGCTTTCGCACAACCCAACAATCGCTCCGTTGCGCTGCTTTGGTACTATCACGATGGCTCAACGGAGTAAGTACCGTGCACTGGACTTCGCTACCAAAGTTAAGGTGCTGCAAGAAGTCGAAGGGAGTCAGTCGCCAAAGCAGATGTCGATGTTGACAAGCACGTCGAGGTCTCTGGTCCGCTTTCGGACGTCGAAATAATCAAAGTGGTTAGGCCTGGTGTGGTGGTGCGAGGAAGTGACGATGACTGACGACGAGGAACTCTCGCCACCGTCGATTCCCACGCCGAGTGCCGCTGATGCGGAAACTGCATTGGGCGTCGTAGAATGTTTTTTATCGGGCGAAGAGAATGCCGAAGACGCCTTACGATGCATACGTAACTTGCAGAGCCGAGTGACGGTGGCGCGGATGCGTCAGCGAAAACAATCTAAGATCGACCAGTTCTTCTCCTAAGTGAGTACTGAATAAAATAAACTCAGTTTTATATGTGCTTTTTTAATTCAAAGTTCGCTTAATTCGAAGGATTTTTGCTGTCCCTGTGAGCTTCAAATTACCGAGAGTCTACTGTACATATAAGATGGGGAGAGGCGAGGGAGATGGCTGAACATAAGCATGGAAAACCCGATAAATACATGGATGGAGGCATTCTTTTTTCTCCCATTGTGATTTGAAAGGGGGGGAGAAAGAACAAGGAATAAAGTATTTTAAAAAGTTGAAGTGGACAAGGCTGAAGGGATGGCAGGAAGGGGTGAGTGAAGCGATTTAAGAAGGGGGGGTGGTTATTATGATATGGCTATATGGTAGTTATTATGGTAGTATGGTAGAGGGTGGGTGCAGCAGCGTGGTGTGTCGCGTTGGTCCGCCCCATTTACAAACTAGGAGGAACTGCCAAAGCTGTTCATCTAGTTCAGTGGTCGGCAACCAGCAGCCCCCGGGCCTGATCCGGCCCGCGAGATAGTATCATACGGCCCTCAGCCTCCCGGTAACACCCACTCGCCCCCTACGCGGTCAGCTAAAGAAAAAAAATAAAGTTGACTAATTCGCTGCCCGTCTGCTAGCAGGCTTTTTCACGAATGAAGTGCATAAAATCCAACTTCCGCTCACGAATGACTGACGAGAACCTCCACAATGTTTTGCGACTCGCAGTTAGCAGCTTCAATGTGGATGTTCGTAGTTCAGCGAGCGCAGTTAAACACCAAAAGTCTCACTGAGAGGAGTCTCTAGGTTTTCGTGGAAATGTCGCATCTCATGTTGTTTGTCGTGAAATAAAGAAACTGTTCATTTTCGATTTATGTACGTCAATGTAAGTTCGAGCAAGTGCTTTTTTTTAAATTTTAACTCCCCCCCCCCCCCTCCGCTGCTTGCCGTCTGGCCCGTTCCGCCTTGGCTTCGCGGCGACTCGGCCCGCTTCGCAAAAAGGTTGCCGACCACTGATCTAGTTCATCTATTGTATCCCATTCAGGAAATAACGCCTCTGCAGCAATCTTTTTCATAGTTGGGACTTTTAAAAGGGGAGTGTAAAGGCACTGAAGTATGTGAATCCACCAACACTTTGGCTTGACCAAATAACCGAATCGCTTGACTGTGACCTCGCTGCAAGCAAGCTAGAGCCAGCGTTCTGACTAATGTCGTCATCGTAGTAATAGCAGGAGTATGCAGCCATAGCCTTGGCATTTGAAACGCGCTTTCCATGTCTGAGCGAGCGAGGAGGCGAAAGAGAGACAAAAAAAGAAAGCAGGAGAGGGAGGGGTTGGTAAGGGATGTCGCACGCTGTTTCGCTGACAAACGTGCCAACAGACGGCACTAGTACTCTTGCCAGCCAATTAGCCGCATGGGTTGCTGCCCACGTAGCCTGCTTCGTCGCCGCCTGCGTTGCCTGCCTCACCTCCTCCCCTTCCCACTCCTTGCCCTTTTCTGCTCTGAACTATTCGACAGCACTTTTTCCTGGGTTACCGCAGAGGAAGCTCAAACAGCTTGTTCTTCAGTGGGCGACAGACAGGGATCGATGCATGTTCTTTTTATTCACAGTTCAAATAACGGAAATTATGTACTCAACATTTCTGGTGAACACAGGAAACAATCGAATGGACAGCGTGTGAAAAAGGAAAAGACAACATAGGACAACATTTTACAAACCAGTGAAGAAAGGCACAACACCAGGTATATGACATAGACACCAGTGTTGCGGAATGGCCACCGCCTTTCCATTCCAATTTCATTCCGGAGAATTAGTTTCCGACAATTCCATTCCTTTCAACCCCTTGGAACGGAGAAACTGGGCCCATTTTCACTCCTGGAATAGCTGAACTTCACCATTCGATTCCTTTAGTTCCTGAAGGTTAAAAAATGGGCATTGACAGCCACATTGTGTTACTGAAAAAAAAGCAGCATAAAGCTGCTAACAATTTGAAGCATGGAGACGACTGCAAAAGTATGCAAAAGCATTTTCAAAGCACTCATTCCGCTAATCTAAAGGGTGGTTGCACAGCGCTTCATGGCAACTGCTTGTCACTGCAGACATTGACCGTGCGATGAAGCGTGAAAGGCTTGCACGTCCCAACAGTCGTCAAAAATTAAAACCTCCCATTTTCTTTGCAAACAGACCAAATATACAGGATGGGATTGAAGGAATGGTGCAGTCGTGTGGTGGTTCAGTCCTTCAACACTTCGATTAAGCTATATTGTAAAGTGTTGATGCCACCTGGCGGCAAAGCTCATAATTACAGTATGCCTTGCCCTGCCAAGGCGGATGATGATATGGACTTGACTGATATCCCAAGACGCATTGTGCTCCTTGATGGTTAAATTTGAAGTGCTCTCCAATTCCGGTATCTAGAACCAGAGATATAGCCATCTGTTCGACATACAAACTGTGATTAATATTTACAGGTATTGATTCCATTCTAATTCGTTGCGAATGTTATGCACCTTCCGTAAAATCCCGTAGTAAGAATGCCTGCCCAAAACGAAGATAGATGGTGAAAAACATTGGATGGGCTACCTTTGGGATTAGGCAGCAAATCTTCATAAAAAATTAGTAAAGAATATCAGGGCACCAGCTATCTACAAACCACATGACATGGGAACTTTTACATCAGATTGCAGACGCAGTTAATTTGCGTTTCACGATGCGATAGACACGTGAGAATTCGCTACCGACTCCTGTATCACGGTTGTCACAGGTACTGTAAAGACTGTATGAACGCCCACCTCTGAGAGACCGCCCACCTTGTTTTTCTAAATTTCAAAGCACCCCCCCCCCCCCCCGGTTTCTCACCAGATATCAATAACGCAGTGTCAGACGGCAATCACAGCAATTGTGCCATCTGCAGTTGTTTAGTGCACTCTGACACGTGAATCTGTTTCGTCTGCAATCTGTAGTGTCCGTTCCTGCAGCATGCAAGTTCATAGGTCGTTACCGCATCTATTTTTGTCCACAATTTGTGTGTGAAATAGCTGTTCCTGTGAGACACGAGTTTTTCTTTTTTACTGTGTTTATTGCACTGTGAAACATGAATTTGCTGCGTCCGCAACCAGCACATGCAATATTGCTTTCCATTGCAGTAGAGTTAGGAACTGGTTTTTGCTTGTTTATCACGCTGTGAAGCGCGAATGTGCTGCGTCCTCATTCTGCGGTTTTCGTTCCTTCGGTAAGGCAGTCTGTTGCTGATTCCGGCATACTTGTTATGCTGTAGAACTCGAATTCGCCTTATCCGCCTTTTGTGGTATCAGTTTTCATTTCATGCAGTTCAATATGACCCCCCACCCCAACCCTGCTATCACCAGTATTTTAGCAACTTTTTATGCCGCATCCCGAAAGATCGCTTACTCCATAATTTTCACAATTTATCTCTTCATTTTTGGGTGAGTATTCTTTCGGGACTTTACGGTACCTTTAGCCAGGAACCCGAATTCACTTAGAGATTGCACTACTTACAAACGTGACAATCATCTACAGCTTGTAGCGGAAACAATAAGCGCTGAAGGGGACATGCAAGTAAAAATGGCAACATTTAGCCAAATCATTGATTACGAATTTTAGGCTGTTTTATTATTTTTTGAATCTCCATATTAAATGATAATAATGATAAGGATAGGATATTATTGTGAAATTAGTGAAATACGCATTCGAAGAATTTCCGGCGACCCAAAAAGGCATAAATTTGAGCCATTTCAATGTGCGCGGTTCTTCAACTTGTGACGTCGTCCGCCTTCACATTTATTTCGATAAGTAAGCCTTGTCATCTCTACGTTGCATTCTTTGGTAGTTTTAGTTTCTGATAGAAGAGAACGAAGAATTATATTTCCAAAAGCCAATGTTGCTGCTATGCTTCAACATTAATATTCAAATGAATTGATTTTTCCTTATTTCAAAGCGTCTTCACTGTCTGCAAAAAAATTTGTCCCTAATATAATTTATTACGAAAAGCATTTGGCATGAATATGTATAGAATATCTAGAATGCACAATTAAGGTTTGGTTAACTTGTGTTAGGCCCCATTAAAAATGGGTTTTTGCAATTTTCAGTAAAAAAAGGTCTCGCTTGCATTTTTGTTTGTTCATGTAACTTGATGATTTAAAAGGAGAAAACTAGCTTATTTTATTTGACTCTTTTAAGTGTTTCATATATCAATTGCATCCAGAACATGAAAAACCAGCTTATCAAAACACCAGATTTATAAAAAAAGGAGGTCAATTACCATAACTTGAAGGTTTTACTCAGTTATCATAAATAATAGTACATATGTCCTCTTGTCCGTGTCTCCTTCAACATACTCAATGCTGTTCATGCTAATAGAACAAATAATAGAATAAGTTGTTTTTGAGTCTTTTCCGGAACTGGAAATAAAAATGGCAGTGAGATATTAATCCACTCAATCCACTGCCTAGTTAATTTGAAACAAATTGCCTATCTTGGCTGAGCTTTCCATGGATTTCCTAATATTGTCTTATTTTAGGAGATGAACGTGCACTGTTGGAAAAGACCAGCTGCCCTCTGAAAGCCAATGGGGACATCTGGTTTGCATGCTGTTCCTGCACCTACTTCACCAGAGATCAGCATGGAATTGTGAACCACTTGGTTGCCCATGGTGATGAACAAGTCAAGTGCCAACCTCCTTTCACATTTCCTGCTTCAAAGTTCAAAGTGCACAGCAACACTCAAAAGCACAGAAGTGATAAGCTTTTCAAGTGCAAGCTGTGTCCTCGCATCTTTACTTGGAAATCCTCTTTGATTGACCATAATCGAACACACAGCTGTGAAAAACCTTACAAGTGCCAGCTGTGTTCCAAAGCCTTTGCTCACAGAACAACACTGATTAACCACAAGAGAACCCACAGAGGTGACAAACCCTTCAAGTGTAAGCTGTGTTCCAAAGAGTTTTCTTACAAATGCAGTCTGATCTACCACATACAAACACACACAGGTGTAAAGCCATTTAAGTGTGAGCTTTGCTCCCAAGAGTTTACACGCAGTTCCTCTTTGAAACACCATAATCGGATACACAGTGGTGAAAAACCTTATAAGTGCAATCTCTGCCCCCAAGCCTTTGTTCGAAATTCTGAGGTGAGAAGGCATAATGTAACACACAGCGGTGAAAAACCTTACAAGTGTGAGCTGTGTTCCAAAGCCTTTGCTTACAGGGGCGGTCTGATCCACCACAAGAGAACACACACAGGTGAAAAGCCGTACAAGTGCAAGCTGTGCCCCCAAGAGTTTGCTTACAAGCGCAGTCTGACCTACCACAAACGAGCACATACAGGTGTAAAGCCACTCAAGTGAGGTTTGCCCCCAAGAGTTTACACACAGTTCCTCTTTGAAAAACCATAATCAAATACACAGTGGTGAAAAACCTTACAAGTGAGCTATATTCCAAGCCTTTGCTTGGAAGTCACATTTGGAAAGCCATAATCAAACATAATGCTGTAAAGCCTTTTAAACCTTTGCTTCTTAGGCCTTTGCTAAAGATAGCAGTCCGATCTTTCACAACCAAACACACATGAGGTCCATTGAAGTGCACACTCTGTCTCCAAGCCTTTGCTAGTAAGTGCACTCTGACCCATCATTACGAGCACATACAGGTGAAAAGCCCTATTAGCCGTATTCACCAGTCGTGACTAACTAGCGCCGTTTTAAAGTTAGTATCGCGACTAATTAGTCATGAACTAAGAAAAAATCGGCGACTAAGGATCGACTAGTCCTGCGGTACTCACGAGCGCGAAGCGAGCGGGTGACTATCTACTGAGAAGAAGCGGAAGTAACAAAAAGATAGGTCACGCACACACATACTTAAATGTCGCTGCGTAAATAGGTATTTAATCATATAAGAACTAATATTTAAACATCTATTAGGCAGAAAAAAGTTACAATGAGAGACTAATTGTCCGAGACAGAGTTTTAAAAAGAAAAATGAAAAGAAACCCAAGGAAGAAATACGAAAGCCGCATTGCCAGCAACATAAACAAATATGGATGCACCCGTATGTGCGTTTTTTCTTGCTTTTCAGCGTCCTGCTGAGGTCGCTTTAGCGGTATCTCTGGCCATTGAACATGGCTATTTACACAAAATTTGCTCCTCCAATTCTTTCTACATGTGTCCCCCAGCCTTCCGAGACAGTAAGTGCTTCGTTTGCGCTGGCAGTCAGCGGTGATACGAGTCGGCCATGGCACTGAGCTGCTAGTCACCCGCTAAATACCGGCTGAACTAGCCCTACCCCATGACTAAGATTTGTTAGTCGACTTAGCCGCACGGGGCGACTAGGCCCTAAACATGACCGGTGAATACCAAGCGCTCACTTAGCGGCGACTATCGCTCGCCACATGATCATTTTAGTCGACGACGTTGCTGTGTCGTCGTGTTTGTTTACTTCGACTACAGTGGTGATTTCTAAGCATTTGTGTCCTCGAACATTGCCCGGATTTCTTATTTGGCGCATTTCATGCGTGTGCTCAAGTTTAAGGTATTACTGGCGCGTACTGTATGGAAGGATGCGAATTTTCACGCGTTTTCATCACCGGAGAAAAGTGATTAGGGTTAGCAATCCTGAGCACTCGCAACGTCCGTCCGCAACCCGCGACGCCGTTAAAAGGCTGCGCCAGGCAAAAGCCGCTCATTTCTTTCAAAATGTGTGACACACTTGAGATAGAACTGTACTAGTCTAGTGAAATAAAGACTTTCCTCAAACTAAGCTTTATTTTTCATCTAACATATAATAAATTATTTTACGAAGGTAAGTTGTCTCATGGCATGTATTTTGGCCTGAAAAATTGATGTTTTGGTTATAGCACGGTACCGCTTATAGTGCGGATTTTCGCGACTCCTGCGGCATACGTTATATGCGGTCTACACTGTAGTAAACAGCAAAAGGGTCTATACTTCGTGTCACTAGTTGCGTGCATTACAGGTGAAGGCAATGTTAGCGAGAGAGAAAGGGCAAGCACTAGGAAGGCTGAGGGGGAGAGGAAAGAGAAACCTCTTCTCTAACTTTCCTAGAGCTCTGCCTTTCTCTCCTCACCCTCCTCTTATATCCAGCCTTCCTAGTGCTCAATCTTTCTCTCCGCCTGGCATTGCCTTTGCCTGCACTTCACACAACTAGTGACACGGAAGTATAGGGTGCAAGCTCTAGCTCTTTGCTCAAAGACGCACATGAGGTGCACGACGGCTCTCAGAAGGAGCACTGCCAACGATACAGTTATCAGTTTTGTGATTCTTGCCCTCACAAGATATCACCATTTATCTGCTGCTATAAAAAAATGTGAGCAAAGCACAGGCTAGAGCAACTAACTGCAAAGCTGCTTTTGTGCGATTTTTGAGTGACGGGTTAATCTTCTATAATCTTGTGGAGGGAGGATAGCGACGTCTGAGACAAACAAAAGAGAGTCCCGTTTAGTGGGGAGTTCCTCCCTCCCTTCTTGGGCTGGCCGTAGAGCTGTCGGGGCGATGTCAGGTTCAAAGAGACAGTTATCGTCACTACCTGTCAAGGTTCCTATACGCGCATTACAAACGAGGCTTTAGCGACATCCACTAACTACTCTTTGCTAATCGTTTAATTTGTTTTAAAATTCCTCTTCGTGTCTTTTTTAATAAGATTTTGGTGTGTCCAATAGCATACATAGACCAAAAAATAGGCACTGAAATTTCATTGTAGTCTTGCCAACAGGCTTGCCCAGAGGCTTTTCAGTGTAACGATTAATAAACATCCAAACGACTACTTGATATGCATATTTTTGTTTTCTGAAATGTTTTAATTTCGAGAGCGTATGTCGTTTGAGATTGTGTACTATTTCATGTGTTTGTTTTTTTTCTCCCTTTTTAACTTTTTATGTGCCACCACACTAACCAATAGGTTGTTCTGGGGCATGATACAAATAAAGGATTATTATTATTATTATTATTAGATACTTTAAGGGGTTTTAAGGCACATGGTCGTAGGCAGTCACAAATATGGGAACCAGCCTTAAGGAACAATGGATTTGCCAGCAGGCTTGCCAAGGGGTTTTTTAGTGAAACAATTAATAAACATTCTTTTTAATGCAATAAGGTGGGTCAGAGAAGCTTACTCTCGATGTTCTACCTCTTAATGCATACTGGGCCATGCCTCTGTTCTTGTTCCGAGTTCCTTTCCACTTGCTGGTGGTGTGTTTATGATGCTCATAAAATTTCCTGTATTGTTTTGCTTCGACATATTCTCCTCTTTGTGTAGAAGATATAAACTTGAGAAAGTAAATGTGGGACCAGAATTTCACTTTTCTTTTTAAGATAAGGTAAGCAGTTTCAGGTCCTATGCTGTTGTTTCTTTCGGCTGTTGCAGATCTCGGTACTGAAGCGAGTGGGGAGTAATGTTTTATGCGGTTTCCATTTTGACGTTTTGTAGCGTGCCATCTTACTTCAGCGGTTACCTCGGCGGGAGATTGAGTGAAGGGCATGTGTACGCACCGTGGCGCTTTATTTATTTATTTATACAGTACCTACATCGCCCAGAGGGCATTGCAGTAGGGGGGTTAAAATGCATAAAAGATGGTTGCATCACACTTGTTAAACGCAAGTAAAACATAGTGCTTGAAAGCACCAATACACAAAAAAATGCAAAAAACATCAAAGATCTGTTGCAAGAAAAAAGGGATACAATCAGCAAGCACATTACTAACAGGAAACACGATACCAGTATAACTAATAAACACAATACAGGATATTGAACACTGAGGGAGTTTTATAGGTCCAATAGGAGAGAAGAAAAGCTGGCATCTGAGGTTTCTGTCACCGCAAGTTCGCACAAGTTGTGCTGCCGATTGGGGTGTCGGCAGTTTAGTTCCCACATGACCCGGCAGGTTTAGCGATTAATTGATATTGTATCAGAGGCCTTACAAAGTGACGGTGTGGAGTTGAGATTGCGGTTAAACTGAGTTTATTGGAAGGAAAAGCGTCTGGGAGGAGACCGGAGCAAAGCATCTGCTTGCCGGTGCTCTTAGGGGGTCTGCAAATGTTAATGTTCCATGTGGGAGAGGGGAGCCTAGTCTGGACCCCTGCATGTAAACATTGGGGTGTCGGGTCACACTTCGTAGGCTGGGATACATTGCTCGTACCGTCGGGTATGTATGATGTGTATGTAGCAGTACCAATTGGCACGGTTTTAGTTTTGTGTAATGCTGTTTCAAGAGTACATTGACGAAGGGTGTTGAGAACTTGGAACTGACGTTAACACATGCATACTTAATGTATTTTCACCTTTTTTTTTCCGGCACTGTACAATACCAGCTTTGAGACATCACTTTGTATTGTCCAGATGGTCTATAAATTTTGTTACTCTGTGTTCTTGGGCCTGATTACTGATTTCTATTGTAGTAGGCTGGATCGCGGATTGCACCAGACAATACACGCAAGTCTATGGGAGAAACGCACAAAAGTAAGAATATTGAACTGTGTACGCTGTGCTCGGAGGCGAGTATTTTATGGTGTGCTGCAATCCTTATGTCGGGTGTTTGGAGATCGAATCGGTATTTGTCAAACGTTTGAACGCCGATTAAAAAAATCAAATGTACCAATGTATCAATGTCTACGGCTGAGCTGGCAAGCTTGCTCTCGTAGTGTAGTAAACAAAGGAGTTTGCCTTCAATGAGACCGTCCTCGGGGAAGTGCAAAAGTTGATCAATGACAAAGAAGTTCCATATCGACAGCGACATTCCGTGAGTGAGCGAATTTCGCGTAGCAAAGCCTTCGAGCTTGTCGTCTGCTAAACCCATCTTAATGAAACCGCCACCGACTCCGCGGTAACTCTAGGTAACTCTCGCCTCATTGAACTGCACTACAGCGGAGTCACTCTCGACCACAAAATCTTTATTTATAAGAACTGCGAGAGCTGACAGTTTTAATGTTTGTACGCAAGCTATTTGATGGGCTTATCGAAAAGCATCCAAAAAGTTTCAGTGCCGACAACAGCTTAGAAACGGGGAAAACGGCACTTTTTCCGGGCTCTCTGCATCATAATTTGCATACTGTAGGTGTCATCTTATTTCAGTCTATGCCTTTTGCTTGTTTTTTGTGTAGCACTGAATAGTGGCAGGTTTCTATGCTGGACTCGTGGCAAACATTCTCATATTTTTCTAGCAAAATGAGATGGGTCAGAGCAGCTAAGTCTCAAGGAATACAAATTCAGCCATGATTCTGCTTGGGTTGCAGTGTCCCCTGAAGTTTTGCTCTCGGAGTGTTTATTTTTGTATTGTATAATATATTTGCAAAACAAAGCTCTATTGCAGTTATTTCCTTCTTTGTTTTTTGTTTTTTTACTTTTATCTTGATTGTCTTCACACAATTTGCAGAAGACAAATCTGTAATAGGACTTGTGTTTCCCTGTTTCTCGGAAGTAAAGGTTGACAATTCAAGCTTTCACAATGTTGTTAGTTTCTTTTAGCCGTCGCAAATCTTAGTTGAAGCAAAATGTGCCCCTGGAAGGGTGTCTTCTTAAAAAGTTCCTATTTTGCCATCTTGCACCATGCTGGGATCTCGCAGTAGCAGTTTCATCGCCAGGAATTTGACTGCCAAATGGTTGTGCTCACTGCACCACATAGAGATTGGCAGTTTGTGCTGCCGATTGTTAGCCTAATTCCTGCCTTCCCAAAGCTTTTGCTTATCATAATAATTTAGCTCTCCTCGCTCAAGTGGGTATGCACAATAAACGTTATGAATATCAGCAATGTCCCGGGACATTTTATGACCAGCCTTTTCTCAGCCCACACGCGCCAACACGGGTGTGTGGAACTCTGGCTGAATGTCCGAGAACATTCAATCTGTGTTCCAGGTTGATTCGCCTGATGCAGTTTGTGTATGCAAAGCATGAGAAGTATTAGGTATCGTACATAAACCTTTAATTGAAATGGCAGTCTGTCTGTTCATGACAGTGATGTGAACTGGATGATGATTCCAAGCTGGCAGTGCTCAAGTAGAAAGTCAGCCCTTGTGGCAAACAGCTTTTAGTTTTTTTTAACAAATTCAGATAGGTTACAGCAGTTAAGTCTCATGGCTTGGCAGGAAGGCTTACAGCAGTGTCGCAGTAAGCCTTTTGACGATAAACCTTTCACATTAAACTTAATTCTTGTTCAGCGTTTCACAATTTTGCTCATGTTTGCCCTAATTAAGGCGTCTTCAGTGCACAGAAGGAGGTCACCCCACTGTCTCGGAAAAAGTAAGGATGTTTTCAAAGGTGACTATTAAATTAACACACCGTCCAGTCTTTTCGACATGGCTCCTATGACATGTCGGTAGGGTCCTGTACATCACACCCACCGTAAGATGCACAAACGGTTGAATTCCAGAGAAACGCTCACCGGAGACAAATTCAGCCACTTTTTAGTGGTCTGGAGACAAGCTTACCTGGAACTAAACTTTTTTTGCAAAGTTGCGATAAAGTTGAGTAATGCAACGAAAT